CTAAGACGCAATACTACACTATTGCATAATCTCTTATACAGACTAAGCTTTTGTTATTTTTCTTACTATATGCTTAAACCATTAGGCAATACACATAAATAACCCGTCCTGGGTAAGACGACAAACTACATGCGCGTCCTGGGTAAGACGATAAACTACATCCAACAGCAAGGCCTCTGATCAGAAAGCGTAGAACCACCTCTTAATTACTGGTGTTCCCAGGTCCACCCTGACCCGGAGTGGTAGCACCTGTTAGGGTCCCAGCAATGATTAAATAGCTAACCTCCAAATTGGGGTAAAAACAGTATGAAAATATAAACATTATTACTAGCAATACATTTTTGAAGAAAAATTATTGCGAACAATACATTATTAACAGCAATACAATTTTGAAAAAAAATATATTACCAGGAATACATTTTTTGAAAAAAGAAATACCAGCAATAAACATTTTGTCGGCATTAAATAACCCATTGATGTTGATTTGCCGTAAAACAAAACAAACCAAACCAAACACATAAATAATATTTACCACAACGAAGCTACTGGGAGGGAAAGAAAATGGAAGTCTTTAAAAGAAACCGGAAATCTGATCCCAAAAAGAAAATAAGGGATAAACTTCTACTTGGAGCAGTTCCATTGGTATAGTGTCTTTCCATTGATATGGAATCATTAAAAGTATATGATGCCTTTGTCAAGTTGGGCAATGGCCCCTTTCGGAGAATCATCTTACTTATTATAAAACGCAGATTTTTTTTTTTTTTTTTTTTTTTTGTGTGTGTGTGTGTGTGTGTGTGTGTGTGTGTGTGTGTGTGTGTGTGTGTTTTCTGTAACGTTTATATATTGCATCGGATTTCCTACATTTTTCAACCGATTTCAACAAAACTTCACAGGACTACATAAAATTACCTTGTGGTGGTTCTAACAGCGCCAAAATAATGGGAAAAATACAATTGTTTTTGCACAAAATCAATTTGAAAACACGATTAAGAGACATCGTGAGAATGAAAGGGGGACAACTCACATCGGGTTGTTTGCGTGTATGGGTTCCTTTAAATATGGGATCGGATTTCCTACATTTTTCAGCCGATAAAACAAAAATTCACTTTTTTTTTGGCAGGTAGTGTTTCTTATTCTCTTGCACACTTTTTTCTTTATTTTTAGTATTCAGAATGCTTTAAAAATAGCCATTTACAAGACAATTGTTTATAATAAAATTCTATTCAATCGGTAGAGACTCATAACGATTGAAAACAATGTTTTTGTTTGAGTTTGGGTTTGACCAATTCGTAAAAAAAAAAAAAAAAAAAAAGTCCGTCAACCTTAAACAATAATCTAACGATCTGTACTGATTGTACGAATCCAAACATCGTATAATTCTTTATCTTTAGAGAAAGATAATGAAATCTAAACATACACAAGTCCTCCTAACTAAAAATAATAACCGGAAACTACTTTAGTTTAAATACACATGGTGTCCAATTTCTTTTACTGTATTCAATAAGTAAAATCATAAATTGTAAAAGATTATTATTACAGAAAGGCTACTAAATGAATAAGATTTGTTAGATCATAATTAATAAACCCAAATAAAGTTAATATTTTTTGTATTAGAAAAAACGAGTGGAAAATATATTCAAATCAGAATTCTAATTATGAATCACCACATGCAAAATATGCATTTTTTTTGCTGTATTCAATAAGTAAAATCATAAATTGTAAAACTAAAAGATTACAGAAAGGCTACCTACATTTTTCAACCGATTTCAACAAAACTTCACTTTTTTTTTTTGGCATGTAGTGTTTCTTAGTGTCTTGCACACTTTTTTTCTTTTATTTTTACATTCAGAATGCTTTAAAAATTCCATTTACAAGACAATTGTTTATAATAAAATTCTATTCAATCGGTAGACTCATAACGATTGTAAACAATGTTTTGTTTGAGTTTGGGTTTGACCAATTTGTAAAAAAAAAAAAAAAATTAAGACATGCGTGTCCGTCAATCTTAAACAATAATCTTTGTCAATTTTATTTTTCAGTCTTTATGATGGTCGATACTTGATCTATCTCTTACTGTTACATCCCCGGGCAACGCCGGGCTCTACTGCTAGTCTGAAATATTATTGCTCTTGAATATACTATTCAGATTAAAATGCTCTTGGTTGTAAGCTGTATTACTGATAAAACCGATTGTCCAAGAATGTAAATAATTATCCGCTGTTATGTTTATACTGTTACCAACTTCGAAGCTAGCTATCATTATATTGTCTATAATACCTACCTCAAAATAAAACACCAACTCCGCACTGTTGTCTTCCTAGACGTGTTGGCAAACAATTCTCATGAAGTACCCAACCCCTACGCAAGCCATCAGGTCCACCCAATGCTACTCTGCGTTCATCATTAAAAATCAGTTTACACGCTATTTATCCATAGCGGTGGGGTTGATATAAGAAGTGGATTCATACTTTTCTAAGTGTATTTGCGAATAAGTGAAGCGAATGAACTCGACTGGAATTCGAACTCTCCGAGTCCTTATCCATTACACCACCACACATCTATCACAGAGAACATCATAGATATATAAAACAAGAAAGTTCAGCGTATTTAATCTGATGGATACCGACGATAAAGCTTCTGTAAATGAAGTTTAAATTTCATCTCAAGAAAAAAATATTTAAAAAACCTCTTGTGGATGACGAGAATTCCTTTAAAAAATGCTGACTCAGGATCCGGCATTTTCCCGCCGATCATTAACGTCTTTTTATAGCTATATATTCTTGAAATATTTTTATCGAATGTTTTTATAATTGTTATTCGTTCAGCTTAGGATTAGACAATACTCAACTCCTTCTCTCCACGCCAGCCAGAATCCAGGAGGCCAGTTTTATTTTTTTCTATATTTGTTATTATTTTCCCTTCTTTGTATATTTCCCCGAAATTTATCGTCTTATTTGTGGCTAGAGATATAATCCGAACTAGGCGAGAGTTTGTCACGATACGACGAGACCCGCTGCCACGTCTACTTAACAAATTAGGATTACTATTTGCTTTTTTTTTTTTTTTTTTTTTTTTTTTTTTGAGCGAAGGGGTTTTTATCACAGAATTTCAAGAGACAAGATTGATTATTGAGAAACAAGAATTCGCGCATGCGCACGAAATGCTTAAAGAAAAGATGTGGCCTTTGGAGAGTTGTGAAAACCTTTTTGCGCCGGTGAGTGAAAACGATGGAGTGGACAGAAAAGACAGCCTCACGCAAAAACAGGTTCATAGTTGTCTAAATAAATAAGTCTATTGACAAAATGTAAATCAAGTTTAGGGTTAGGGGTTAAATGTGTGCGCATGCGCGTGTGTGTATGAGAGAGCCAGCTGACATGCCAGACATCTGTTGAAATTACCCGGTGTGTGAGTGTCATGCATTGCCGCATGAAAAAAAAAATTGACGATTAATATAAATTCAGTTATATGTAATTTTACCCAAAATAAAATTTAACATTATGCGATTTTATCAATAAAATGCACCAAAAGAACTCACACCCTAACACACACACACACAGACGCACACACACAAACACACACACACATAACAAGGTAACTTGCTATTGGCAGATATTGTAATTTTTAAATTCCTAGGCGATGATTTGGAATGGATTGGTGTATCATTCTATTCCTTATTAATTTTCGAAGGCACAAATATTTCTCAAGAGGTCAGGTGTGACCCCGAATCGGGAAAGAGTGTGTGTTTTTTGATTCCGTTTTTGATGTCAACTGAATATATTTTGCTTTTGGAGCAATGGCTCTGAATGAAATCGGGTAAAATCAACACAGTCTTTTAACCCCCAATTTCAAGTCTTGGTCTTTTAACCCCCAATTTAAACAATGGAAAATTGAGTTATTTTGGCGTGTGAACAGTTTGATATGCGAACGAAGAATTATGTATAAATTGAGTTCGATTTTCAGGATACAGAGACGAGCTGGGACGCCAGAGACAGACGGATCGTCAGATATACACGCAGTTGCACATCCACACGAGAAAGGGACCCAATGTTAAATTTCTAATTGAGCCTTTGCTAAACACATAGATCAAGATTCCAAGTCGCTGCCTTCTAATCTTTTTGTGTTAATAGATACGAAATATATTTAATTGTAAATTATTTTATTCACTTTTATTAAATCGTCTGTATTTAACCAAAACTGGCATCATTATTTCCTCGATGAGAGCTTGCCTTTATTTCCAGTCAGCCCAGTCGTCAAGAAGAAGTTTACTACGGTTTATTGACTAAAAGAAGAAAGACGATTTTCTTCGTCAGTAAAGAACAAAGACTGGACGATGAACGACTTATACTGGTACCAATTCCTAAACCTGTTTGGAAGCTCTATAACACTCCTTATCCAATAGCCGTGGGAGGATTGAGATATCAGAACATGCGGGGTCCGAACTGGGCGGCTGCACGTCGACAGGAAGCGCGATTAGACTAACAGCGCCTAGAAGAGGTGTACCGGAAGAGACGGGGTTACAGGCACACACACACACACACACACACACACACACACATATATATATATATATATATATATAATTATTTATTTAAAAATATGATTCCAACACGCGACATAAGAGTTCTCATGTTTCAAAACAAGAGCCGAAAACTTCAATATAATTATTTTAATTAAATTGAATTAAAGTAAGCTCTGTTCCATCTTCAAGCGAATTTTTTTTAGTACTTTAATTCAATTTAATTCAAATAATTATATTGAAGTTTTCGGCTCTTGTTTTGAAACATGAGAACTCTTATGTAGCGTGTTGGAATCATATTTTTAAATAAATAATTATATATATGCTCTACTTTTGTAGCTAGCAGTATTTTTTTTTAAATAATAACAAAAATACTAAAGAACTTTGGATTATTTACCTAACCAGTTCTTTCCTATTTTCTATATATTTTTCACACACACACACACACACACACACACACACACACACACACACACACACACACATATATATATAGATAGATAGATAGATAGATAGAGAGAGAGAGAGAGAGAGAGAGAGAGAGAGAGAGATAGATATTATACTGTTAGTTCACTTAATACAAGGTAAACAAGAGCAACTCGATAGATTTCTGAATGAGTTTTTGTGTTAGGGAGGAGGAGGGAAGTGCAAATAAAAAACATACATTTTCATTGTTTACATTGTTCGGACAGTTATCCTCAATTTTATTATCATATTCACAACGTTTCGGCCGTTATACACTCCGGCATTCTTCAGAAGAATTGGAATTTTTAACTGAGCTCTTTATTTAGTCTACCTGGGTAGATTGTTCTCCTTCCACGTGCCATGCCTTTTCTGGATGTCTCAGCTTCACTTATTTCCCTTCAATAACTCAAATCTCCAAGTTTTTTTTTTCACCTCTGTCCTTGGGCCAGTGGATAAATGCGTTGGTTGAAGTAATCCAGGGATTAACGCGAGTTCAATATCTGGCCACAGGTAAAAAAATATAAAAAGAATTTAATGCTCGCCCTATAAAAGAAGTCGACTTATATTTGAGTATATACGGTACGTATCAAATTCTAAATTAATTACGAGCACTGGAGTTTTAAAATATTTCACAAACCCATTTAAAGATCTCTGTATAATGTTATCTGAAAAAAATTATCTATCTACATATATATATATATATATATATATATATATATAAATATATATATATATATATATATATATATATATATATATATATATATATATATATATATGAAAAATTAATGATGCAACTCCGTCGACTTATATATATATATATATATATATTAATCTTGCCAGATTGTAAGTCGCCGATTCACCAGACAGCTTGAGAGTATTTAATATGAGATGCTCGACAAAGTGGGGTCTGTAATATTTGTTACATTAGGTTAACACGGCACTGGTTGATACGGCACTGGAAAATTCATTAAATTATGATAGTCAATTTGGGAATTGCGTTTTGAAATATCTTCCATGTGGATCACACCATGGAAGATGTTTAAAAATTTCATATCCTATGAGATTGAGTTTCATTATAGCGACATCTAAGGCAGGGTTTGGATTAAATAAAATAAACACGCGGTCAACATACCAAAGACAGAAGCGGGTAGCAAAAAAAAAGGTATTACACTTTATAAGGGTGTGCGGATGATGTAACGGATATCAGTGCTAAAAGTGTAATCGGCGAGCCGAGTTCAAATCCCGGGCTGGCCTGTTAATTTCACTTTCGCACATATACTCTTTGGAAAGTCACTAATTCGTCTATTCCCTCTATTGGTAAATAGAAGTATCAACTGTTCTCATTAACAGCTGGCAACCAGCCTAAGAGAAAGAAATAAGTGAATTTCATAACAGCGGAAAAGGCAAAAGGGAAACTATTAAATTTTTAATAAATGCATATAAATATTAAATTAAATTATTTAATATCCTCGTCAGAGAACTTATAATATATATATATATATATATATATATATATATATATATTTTTAATTTCTATCAACGTAATAAACAAACCCATAAAAATATGAAGTAGATAAATGATTGTAACGCTATAATTGACCAAATTTAATGGTCAAGATATAATGTTTGCTGAAAAATGAAATATGCACCCCTCTCCAAAGCTTTGGGTCTTGTATTACTAAAATCTTTGTTATCTAAAAAATATTAATTCTTACAATCTAAAAAAATATGTACTGGCTTTAAATAACCTGCAAACGGTTGATAAACCGTAAAAAAAACCTAATCAATCAAACCAAAAACTACGAATCGATTATTTTTAACCTCTTCAAAAACAAAAATTACATGTGTAGAATGTGATCCCTATTCTTGGCGTAAAAATGTGCATGTATATATATATATATATATATATTTTTAAATGTAGTCTAAACATCTTCCCTGCGCCTTATACGCAGGCATATACATTATATGTTAGTCAATCTAGCATCACGATATTGAGTCACCCCCCCACGAGGGTGTCATGTGGCACAAGGCCTTTTTAACGTGGGCATTCCGAGCCCGTGGGCTCGGCCAAAAATATGCCCATTGAACCCGTATAAACGGGTTCAGGGCCGGTTTGCCTCCTCGAAGGAGACTCCGCCCTTCGGCGTAGCCTCCTTCGGGTTCCTCCCGTCCGTAGGAAGAGAGTTCAACCGAACAGTCGGTTCAAAAGTGAACTACTGACTCACTTCAATCTAGCATCACCTTAACAGTAATGGCTTATCCTAGTAGACAAAATTCAGAGTGCAGCAATCCGCTTATTTTCGAGGGTTTACATTAAATGCTATCAAACTGTCTGATAGAATCGGCAGATTACGATCTGGCAATATCTAATGTTCAGATGTCGACCTAGCTGCTTTATCAATTATTCATGATTTCAGATAACATTATATCGAGGTCGTTAACTCTACTCAAATATCTCATTAGGTTCATTTGCCACACCTTTTTTTATTTTATTTATTTTATTTTTTTTTACTTATCATTTCACTTCTAGAAAGGCGATAAAGCCACTAAGACATATAGAATTACACGAGTCAAAAAAAACAAGACTTTAGACGAAGGAACCGAAAACCCAATCCTAAACAGAAAGTAAAGGCTGTCCACATCTTCATTGCCATATTCACGACGTTTCGGTCCTTGTACGCTCCGGCCTTCGTCAGGTGATTGGAATTTTGAACTGGACCCTTTATTTCATTTCCCTGATTGATTGTTCTAGTTCTACGTGCCATGCCTCTTCCGGATATCTCAGGTATCTCCCTTTAACTCAACTCTCTAAGTGTTTGGTTTACCACTGCCGTAGCCAGGTATTGAAAAGCCAACTCCTTGAGTCAAAAGCGTTGGTTGGATTCAGTCATTTGACCCAAAGAGTTGTGAGTTCAGTACCTGGCTACGGCAGTGGTGAACAAAAATTTGGAGAGTTGAGTTAAAGGGAGATAACATACGGAAGAGGCATGGCACGTAGAACTAGAACAATCTACCCCGGTGGACGAAATAAAAGCGTTCAGTTCGAAATTCCAATCAGCTGAAGAAGGCCGGAACGTACAAGGACCGAAACGTCGTGAATAAAGATGAGGACAACAGTCCGGACAATGTAAATAATGTGAATATTTATTTTCGTCTACCGACCTGAATCCTGTCAGATCAGGACAAAAATAGATTACTGCTGTCAAACATGGTCAGTAGATTGCAAAGTCATTCCTTTCCAGCCCCTGCAACCTTGTGAGTGATGAATTGTTTCCTACTCTACAATCCCTTTCCCCACAGGCGAAAAGCTACAAGCCTGTAGATGCCCTATCGCTACATCCGCGGAAAGTGTTCAGACAAATGACATTAGTTCCAACCGTTCTAACTTTCACGGCTAAAACCCGTCATGCCACGCACCTTGTGGCTAACTACTCTCGTAATCCGATGTGAGGAGTAAGTTCCATCCGAAAAGCTTCTTCTCAGGAATAGCTACTTTGTGGAACCGACTCGCAAGAGAATGATTCCCTGATTACTACAGTCTTCACCTGTTCATATCTAGGTTAACCGTCATCTTCGCCACATATACCTATATACTGTGCCTGTTAGGACATACTCTGAAAACCTTTACTTGCCTCTTTTGCCTGAACATTATTGTAAAAAATAATTCAAGTAACATTATCTAGATAGTTGAATCTTCTCAAGTGTCTCATTAGAATCATTTGCTTCATTATTTTCTGGGTTTCTTTATCATGTTGAGAAAAGTTTCAACAGCTACATGTTTCGTAATCTCTTAAAAAATTTATGGTTTTGTGGTATAGGAGTTACTTCTCTTGGTGGCGATTATCTCCCTTGCTAGAAAAAAAACTCTCCTCGCTTTGATACTGTAAATAAGCGGTCTAGTTTTACCTCGACATTCAAGCTCAATAAAGCTTTCTTAAGTATTATAACGCCTCCGAGTTAATACCTGTTTTTAATTCAGGGCCCTCAATCCTATACTACAGGCTTCGAACTAGTTTTGTTTTTTCTTTTTTCCGGCCATGAAGTGATGCCTGCGCATTTAAAGCCTGCCGAACCATACGACTTGACGGATTACAGATTGCCGGATTAGAAAGTTAAAAAAAAAACACCTTATAATAACCTTCGAATAAAAAGGCAATGTTTTTCCAAAGAGTTTGAACGTGAGGCAACCGTTTTGATGGATACGAATTCTTCCTTCTTAATGTTTTTTTTATTTTATTTCAATACAACTTTCTTTACAGGATTTCCTCACGTTCCTACTTTGTTCCAAATGTGGCATCTTTCAAATCCTTATTCCAGGTCAACAATCTCGCGTTCGTATCTTCTAAAAATATTTTCCGATATAAGAGTCAGGGTTCGACTTACCGCCAGCAGCTAAAACAACGATTCGTGGGTTGGGTGGGGAATAGTTGGAAATGAAATATTTCGTTTTCTTCTTGTCTTGTAGTTGTTTTTTTTTTTTCGAATACGTTTCATATTTCTTGCTCGAATTCCTCTAAAATTGTACGTTTTACTCTTGAAGATTTATCAATTCGATATATGAAAGTAATCTTTTAGAATTTTTACTGACGAACCAGATTTTCTTTGAAATGCGAAATAGTTTAAATCTGAAGACTTTTTAAAATTAATAAGAAAAAAGAGAAAAAAAATATCATCTTTATCAAGATAAAATATTTATTAAAGAAGTTGTGAAAAATCGTAAATACCGTATATTTCCGCGTGTAAGACGATCTTTAAATCCCCAAAATCACCATTAAAAATTAGGGGTCGTCTTATTTTATGTGCCGTGAACCTTCGGGACGTAGGCGATCATGGCCCTCCACCTCCTCCTTTCCCTTGTAGCTCATATGTTTTATCTTTTCGTTGTTTCTCCCAGACCCTGTACCGCCATCCACTTGCTCAAGCCCGTTAAGTATGTCACACGTTTCTTTTTTTCTGTCCCTCTTTCTCTCTATCCGCCCTGTGAGTATCAGATTTTCCAAGCCCGCCTTCCTCATTACGTGTCCCAGAAATTTCAACCGCCTCTGACCTAATGTTATGTATAAGGTTCCTCTTTGTTTTTCCATTCTCTCCAAAACCTCATGTTCGGCCCATGGTATCCTCAGCATCCTTCTGTAGAACCACCTTTCTATTGCTTCGAGTCTCTTCTTCATCTTTGAGGAGGTTGTCCCACCGTCTTGTACTATAATACTAAAAAAGAAAATTTTAAATTCTGAGTGATGATTGTCGGTAGGCTAACCTCAGCTTCAGTACGATAACCAATGGCCTACATGAAAAGATTCACATTATCAAATAAACTGATAACAAAATTATTTATACCGTATATATTCAGTTATGTGCCATGCGTCATACACGCTTAGGCGATCATGTATCTTTCGATTCATGACTTACGACGCGGATTTATTCCCGCAGTAGGTTGCCATTTCTTTTTGCGGTAGACCAGTTGCCATCCAAATCTATAGAACCTGGGCTATTCTGTTATTTAGCCATAGCTGAAGGGAGAAGAAGAAGATCCATACCTTCCCCAAGAGTATTAGCACGTAAGTGAATTCCAGTCAGTCATGTGCCATGCGTGGTACACGTTTAGGCGATCATGTATCTTTCGATTCATGACTGACGAAGCAGTTTTTTTTCCCCGCAGTACGTTGCCATTTCTTTCTGCGGTAGACCAGTTACCATCCAAGTTTATAGAACCCGGTCTATTCTGCTATTTACCCATAGCTGGGGGGCGAAGAGGAGGATTCATAAGTTAATAAGGGAAATAGCGCGTAAGATAATGTAATGAATTCGAATGGAATTCGAACTCGGCTCTCCGATTCTAAATTCGAGCCGCTATCCATTACTCCTTTTATATTACTGGCAAAAAATATTTTATTCAAATAATAATTCCATATCAAAGAAATCAATTGTATCCATGTAAACATCGAGTTATGACATATGGGAGAGACATATGGAGAGAAAAGGGAGATCACCGCACACTGTGGGATCAGGCTGGAAAATGGTCACCATTGGAAAATTCATAAAAATGGAACCACACATACGCTAGGCCACAAAAATCTCCTGAGCCGACCAAGCATAGAAATGAATACAATATAGGAACCAGCAATAAGGAGATAGCGATAATAACAACAAAAATTGCAATATGAACACTGGTAAAAAACGGTTCCCGAAGACATTAGGTTTATAATACACAGAAATTCATACATAGATGCCCTCAAGGACACATGGCACAGTGGATAAAGACGTTAGTTAGATCCAGTGACAGGACCCAAAGAGTGCGATTTCAATAACCCGGTGAAGGCAGTCGAGAACTTGGAGAGGGGAATTAATAGGAGATAACTGATAACTGACATCCATTAAAACATGGCAGGTGGAACCGCAGTGAGCCAAATAAAGAGTTCAGTTCGACATTCCAACCACCTGAAGAAGGCCGGAGCGTACAACGGCTGAAACGTTGTAATAAATGTGGCGACAAAGATGAGGACAATAGTCCAAATAATGTAAATAGTGTACATAATACCTCATCTCAGAAATATAGACAGATACTGAAGGATCGGATAAATATGGCAACAAAGATGAGGACAATAGTCCGAATAATGTAAATAGTGTACATAATACCTCATCTCAGAAATATAGACAGATACTGAAGGATCGGATAAATATGACAACAAAGATTAGGACAATAGTCCGAATAATGTAAATAGTAATAATACCTCATCTCAGAAATATAGACAGATACTGAAGGATCGGATAAATATGGCAACAAAGATGAGGGACAATAGTCCGAATAATGTAAATAGTGTACATAATACCTCATCTCAGAAATATAGACAGATACTGAAGGATCGGATAAATATGACAACAAAGATTAGGACAATAGTCCGAATAATGTAAATAGTGTACATAATACCTTATCTCAGAAATATAGACAGATTCTAAGGATACAGTAAGTAACAACATTTCCAATAACATCTTTATATAATCAATAAGCAGTCGTCTTATACTACAGGTAGGGATAAATTCATGAAAATTTGATTTATCGCTTGGCCTTATCTAAAGGCCACCTTATACGCGGAAATATACGGTAAGTATATATCTAATGCTAAACACCAGAAGAGTGAATTGTTTCCTGGTCTTGAGCTAATGTTTTCCGCTGACATAAAGTGGAAAGATTATATTGAATCAGTTTTCTAGGTCTAGAATGAACCGGAAACAGAATCCTAAAAATAAAACAAGTGAGAAAAAATCTATTCATTTTTAAGACACCAAGGAGGAGTTTTAACTGGACGATAGGCGAATCTACATACTTTTAATGAGGAAAAAATGTCAATAAATTCTAAACAGAAAATAAGGGATAAACCTCTGCTCCTGTTCAGAAGACCGAGGAGGAAGATGAACCAGACGATAGGGGCTAAGCTTCCTGACAGACAACTGCATTAACCAACCCTACAAAGAAAAAGCTATTTCGAACTCTGGTCAGTGACTTCAATTATACGTATACGATTAAGTAATTCCACAACAATGAATACTCCTGGGTATGACGATGAACTACATCCGGCAGCATGAACTCTGATGGAGAGATTAGACGTTTTGACAAGCGTGGAGCCTCCTCTTCATTGCTATTGTACCAAGGTCCTCCCTAACACAAGATGGTAGCATTTGTTAGGCTACCAGCTATGGGCTAATAATGAACACGCAAACAAAAATCAAAACACCGAAAAAGCTATAAAAGTACATATTTATAGTAAAAATACCAGCAATACATTTTTTATAAAGAAATTACAAATATATATTTGTAGTGAAATTACCAACAATATATATTATTAGCAAAATGAACAACAACACATTTTATAATGATATGACCAATAATGCATTTTTACAGCAAAATGGCCAACAATATATTTTACAATATGTCCAACAATACGTTTTAGAATAATATGACCAATAATGCATTTTTATAGTGAAATGACTAACAATAAATTTTTATAGTAAAATTACCAACAATATATTTTATAGTAAAATGACCAAAAATACATTTTATAATAATATGAACAACAATACATTTTATAATATGACCAACAATGCATTTTGTAGTAAAATGACTAACAATAGATTTTTATAGTAAAATTTCCAACAATATATTTTATTGTAAAATGACTGACTATAATTTTTATAATAATATGACCAATGATACATTTTATGGTAAAATGACTAAAAATAATTTTTTATAGTACAATTACCAACAATATATTTTATAGGAAAATGACCAAAAATACATTTTATAATAATATGACCAACGATACATTTTATAGTAAAATGACCAACAATATATTTTATAGAAAAATGACTAACAATACATTTTTATAACAAATCAATGCATTGGCACACATTGTGAAAAATTTTAGAAAATGCAATGTTTAATCTCCTCTCTTTTAAGATTGATTTTTTAAGATTTTTTGTTTAAAAATACAGCAACGGTATTACAATTTAATCATGAAATAATGGGATTCTCTTGAGGCTGTTATAAACTTTGAATTTTCATGTTTACACGTCGGCATTAAATAAACGATAAGGACCGAACAACGATGGAGTCCGCCTCTATCGATGCCTTGAAGTAACTCTAAATGGAACAATCAGAACAGTTTCTGGTACAATCCTCAACAAAGAATTTGCTTATCTAGCTTGTAAAATCTCTAGCTGCGAAAGCTATATAAACACACGCATTATAAACTACAAATCAACCATTCACCCTTGCATGGAGTATTGCTGCCACATATGGTCTGGAGCCCGTTCTGCTTGTCTCAAGATTCTTGATAAAATCCAGAGACGGATATGCAATGTAATTGGACCTGATTTGGCATTTCGTCTGCAGTCGCTCTCTCACAGACGTGCTGTCGCCTCCCTAGGTCTTTTTTTTACAAATACTTTCATGGTAACTGCTCCGAGGAGCTGCTTTCGCTGGTTCCCAGACTTCATGAATTTAAGCGTTCTACTAAGCTGGCATCTCGATCTCACGTTTTCACTGTCGAAACTGTTAAATGTAGCCGTCTCTTCTACTCCAATAGCTTCTTGTCTTGCACCTCTCGCCTGTGGAACTCCTTCCCCTTTTCCTGTTTCCCCGATAGCTATAATCTCCAAATATTCAAATGTAATGTCCATCGACGTCTCCAGATACCTTGATCTATCCCCTATAATTCTCTTCATCCTTTCCCCTATTACTCCTCTTTGCTCTCGCTCCAACTCTCTGTAACCCCTTGCGTGCTAGTGGCTTCCCGCCTTGCTTGGGGTGAAACGCTTTAAAAAAAAGCGTGGGATGCCGACGACTATTTATCTCTTGTTTGGAAATATAAACTTCCAGACAACATGAAAAGGAGTCTTCTTTTAAGCAATCGCTACCTCTGTTCTGTCGTATGATTTCTCCGAATGGACCCTTCCCTCGAGACTGGAAAGAAAAATAGATGGAGCCTATACTCGCATGAATGGCTCTGCATGTCATTTGGCGAGATCGTATGGCCATTGAGGGATTGGTAAACTTCGTCCAGTAACAGACATCATCAAAAGCGTAGAATCATATATACAGGGAATTGCTGGAGAGCTAAAGACGGCTTTGATATTGAAATTCTCCTCGCGAGAGCCTAAAAGGCGAAGGGCTTATCAGAACGACAAGCCAATACCAATATCAAGCAGATGTGTGACATCCCTCTCACCTGCCGAATATGACGAACTATAGAATTTGATGGTCACCGAAAGTCATGGTTATTCGTGTAAGCAGGTCGAACGGACGACGATGGGGACAGACATAAAATCACAAACCATCGCAAATTGAGGGAATTTACTTCTTAATTATTTACATCGTATATTTCAAGAGTCTTTCATTCCTTGTTCACCGAATGGAAGACAGAATTTGGAATTCATGACGGAAATGGTTAAATGTTTCTGTTTCACTTTAAAAGTTACTAGCAGATTCGTAATCGGTGCCTTGCTGTCATACCTAAGAATATGGTGCGTCAGGAGTATTGCGGACTGAAAACCTGCACCAGCATGATTTCAATTTATGGAAAGTTCACCACAATTGAGAATTTGATTGGAAATAAGGATCCTATCCAGACGACGTTAATCTGAAGCTTTTATTTTGATTTTGGAAGTGCAGCTGGGCCGTTTTGGAACAAATTTTCCTGGTTAACTTTCAGAACAACAGATTGAGAGCATCTCACCCCGGCTGCTATCTCTTTTGCCAGTTTCTAACAATACGTTAATGACGGCTTTTTTAAGCATCGGATATATCCTAAATCCTTGGAAACCGATTAGTGTAAGCAATTTTCGATAATCCGAAACATTTTTCAACATTAAATAACACCAATAACTTTGCCTTACCTTTGGGAAAGCAGATTAATAGCATCTCACCCAGGCTGCTATCTCTTTTGCCAGTTTCTAACAACAAGTGAATGACGGCTTATTTTTATGCTTTGGGTGTATCTTAGATGTTAGAACACCGGGTACTGTAAGCAGTCTTCTATAATCCGAAATATTTTTCAGCATTAAATAGCCCACCAATTGTTGCTAAGCCGAAAAATAAAATATCAATGAGCTTGCCTTACCTTCGGGATAGAGGATTGAGAGCATCTCATTCCGGCTGCTATATCTTTTGCCAGTTTCCAACAACACAGGAACGACGGTTTATTTTTGTGCCTCAGATGTTTCCTAGATGTTAGAACATCGGGTACTGCAAGCAAGCTTCTATAATGGGAAATCGTTTTCGATTTTAAGTTAAGACATTGACTTTATGCCGCAAAGTGTTGATAAGCCATCAGTCAGTTATGAGCCATGCGTGATACTCATTTAGGCGATCATGTATCTTTCGATACGTGACTGACGAGGTAAATATTTTTTTCCCCGCGGTAGGTTGCCATTTCTTTCTGTGGTAGACCAGTTGATATCCAAGGCTATAGAACCTGGTCTCTTCTGCTATTTACCCATACCCAAAGGGAGAAGAAGAGGATTCATACCTTTCCCAAGGATATTACCACGTAAGTGAGTTCGACTGGAATTCGAACTCGGTTCTCCGATGCCTCAATCCGAGTCGCTATCCATACAAATCAATTAAATCGATTTATCCTGAACTTGAGCACTGAAGATTTCACTCTTTTTAATCCAGTTCTATGACACTGAGGGCATCGTTTTCAGTGCGTCCATGTCCCTACCGGATGTGACAATGGGTCGAAGGTTAATGACGGCTGACGGCAATACTGCGTAAAAAATTGCACTTCCTTTTTGGAGGAAACCTCAGGCGCCGGGTAATGATCCTGTCCTCCATATCGAAGGAGACGTACTGCCTAGACCGATGCTCCCCGGGTTTGATCTTATATTATTTTCAAGTTCTTCTTTATGTGCCATGTTCCCTCACGATATAGGCGATCGTGGCTCTCCACAATTTCCTGTACCTTAATAAACTTTATCTTTCTGTTATTTCTCCTAATCACTGTTCCAGCATCCATTATACAGCAAGAACAACAAGAAGAAAAAAACAGGAATCAAGAAATCAGTACAAAACGGTGATTTTCTATGCGTAGCTTAGATGTGGCACAAGGCCAAAAGTATGGAGCAACCAGTGAGTATCGATCTTACTGCCCCGTCGTAATTAGAGGCTCGCTAGACCGCGTAGAAGTTACCAAGTGATGATTTACTCTTCGTAGCATAGTTGTGACACAATACCAAATGTTCGGGGCTCCCAGTGAGGATCCAAATCATAGCTCAGTCGTAATTGTTCTAGCAAGACAAACTTGCTAATCATTAGACCGCGTCGGAATTACTATGTGTTGATTTACTCATCGTAGTGTAGTTGTGGCACAATGCTGAATGTTCCCGGTCTCAGTGGGGACCAAACTGACTACTCAGTCGTAAAGGATCTAGCAAGGCACGCATGCTGATCGTTAAACCACGACTAAGTGCTCCAGAAGACAGTACATAATGATAGACATTGTATTTAGATTCTTTGTATATCAAACTTAGCTGGAAAGCATTTATTTCTTTGGGATTGTGCAGCGCTATTTCTCAGAATCTTTTTGTACGTTTGGTCTGATTCTGACAGGAACCGAGGTGTATTTATTTAGTTTGATTTTTTTTTGTTTTTTTTTCAGTTTTCTTTTGAAAAAAAAAAGATTTTTATTTATTTAGTTTTTAGTAATCACGGCTATAAATTAAGTTAAGGGCTTAAGCTGCGCTCGTAAAACCTTACAAATTGTATAAGTATTTTCACAGACAAATCACAAGACAACCAGTTACGCATGCAACGATTAGTTTAAAATCCAGTCGGTTTGGATCACTTTCCTGTTCGCATATCGTGTGACACTAGCTAATCGTTTGTGGTCACGTCTTGGTTTGGGACTCAAAGGTACGTATGATCCGAGTGCGGATCGGTTTTCACAAAGCTGCAGGCACGTATTCATTTCACGGCCAGATAAACGTGCGTGTCGTTACGTGTGAAAAATCTCCTTGAATAACTATCCTATCAAAATCAGATTATTTGGTAATACAGCATAGCAAATATCTTCTAAGTAATATCTATTCCCTGTAACTGAATCACGCACACACATATACATGCACATATTCACACACGCCGACCGCGTCCTGGGTATGATACATCCGGCAGCAAGAGCTCTGAGCGGAAGCTTTTGAGGAGCGTAGTACCTTCTCTAAATTTCTAAGTTTCTAGATACACTATGGCCCGTGATGGTAGCATTTGTTAGGCTCCCAAATAGGTGCAAATAGTTACGCTAATAGATAAAAACAAAAAAGAAAACAAAAACAGGAGTATAAAAATACATTTCTATGGTAAAAATAACAGCCGAATATTTTCATAGTAAAAAAAATACTAGCAATATATATTTTAAAAGAAATGACTCATGATAGCAAGAAAATTAAATTTCAGCATTGAAGGATCCATGAGTTGATATGCAGGCAAACAATCAAACAAACACACATGCACACACAAAATATATATATATATATATATATATATATATATATATATATATATGTGTGTGTGTGTGTGTGTGTGTGTGTGTGTGTAATTACAATTAATGAGATCCAAACGATTTACCTCATACAGATGATCATTTCATCCATGGGAAAGTAGTTTTTTCTTTGGACTCATCAATGCAAATCCATTTACTAAAATGAATAAAACGTTTCCTATATGTTCTAGAATAAAATTATATTGAGCTCTGTTTTGTCGATCAGTTTTGATATTTATATGAATAGGATCTACTTGGATTACATACCCACGGGCTTTTTTTGTTCTATATATATATATATATATATATATATATATATATATATATATATATATATATATATGTGTGTGTGTGTGTGTGTGTGTGTGTGTGTGTGTGTTCCTCTTAATAATAACATAAGAACATTTTGATGATAAAACTGTTTTTATTAAGTTTGGAATCTTTCATCATGCTACGCTGTTTTTTTATCAAAACGGTTGAGACTCTTAATCTCTCTCTCTCTCTCTCTCTCTCTATATATATATATATATATATATATATATATATATATATATATATATATATAAGCAGTGACTATTATTGCTGATAATGCAAGGCTCTCCCAACGGATTGAATCCTCTAGGACTATGGCGTGTTTATGAAAATATAAATGCGAAAAAATTCACCTCTCTCTCGCCGATAGTCTAGGGGCTAGATTCTCCGACTGATATAAAATTGGGCGGGTTTCGGTCCCGGCTTGAAGCGATCAGATGTCTAGTCACGCTGCGGATCTGAGATATTGCGAAATAGTATGTGGATGACGATATATATATATATATATATATTGGCCCTATTTTAATTTTGAAATCTTTATCGCCGCTTTATTGAATCTCAGTAGAGTGTTTCAAGACTTTTGTTTCATTGCATCTCACTATTAAAAACTTCTAACAATTGCCGTTATTTTCGGGTACACTAACACGCACACACACGCACACACACACACACACACACACACACACACACACACACACACACACATATATATATATATATATAGCTAATATTACTGGTAAATATACACATACATATATATATATATATATATATATATATATATATATATATATATATATATATATATATATATATATAATGATGAATTACCAGCGCCTTGCTTCGTGTCACATTTTTTGTATGAAAATGAGGATTGATTTTAAATCATTGTTATAATTTGTGGAGAAAAATGTTGCATTTCAACATTACTCAATGATCTTACCTGATGTGACCTTCATCTTCTGGTTTTCTCCTTCTATATTTTGGATAGGATTTATCCCCATGTTGAAATTTAAATTTAATTTGAATCAAAGGGAAAAAATTAAGTGGGAGGTTTGTGCAAAAACAGCTTGATCTGAGCCCTTTGAGATGTATTTGATTGAATGAATTGATGAGCAGGTTTCAACATTGATATGATAGTTGAATTGTCGCAACAAATATGTATTGTAATATATAATTGATTAGTGATTTCTTACTCAAATTGACGTCCATATTTACCCCATTTTGATCTTGCTGACGTGACCTCCATCTTCTTGCTTTCTCCTTCTTTATTTTGGATAGGAGTCATTCCCTTGTTCAAATTTAAATTTAAATCAAAGGGGAAAATTCAGTGGGGGCCCCGAGGGGGGCCCCCTTTGGAACAAAATGAAATATACTTATCCAAGTACACTGGCTAATGTAGTTGCAGAATATATATGGTTATGGGCGTCTATCTCCTAAAACCTAGAAGAAGTTTGAAAACAAACAGACAGACAGAGGCACTAATGGATTTACTAGATATCTTAACAATATGTCCGGGTGTCTTGTCATTGGCATGGCTGCTTAGCTGATTGAGAAGACATCTGGCTACGAATTATTTGAGTAAACCAAAATTCAATGTTAAATCTACGTGATTAACATTCATAAATGAATTATTTGCGTTTACGAAGAAGAAAATTATTTTTAAGAAATAAATATGCAAAGTGAATACTATTTCTCCGTCACAAGACTAATGGTATATTGATATGGCCGGCTATTTTCCGTGCAGACACGTCTTCAAGGGCGGACAGCCAAACCCTGCCGGAGACATCTGTTCAACGCTCACCTGACACAGCTATGATGTGTAGCTCAACTTTGCTAAGCTGACCTGTTTGTAGCTGCGGGCCGCATCATTTGTCATGATCAGCAGGCTGAACCCCATTAATACGCTCAAACCCTCGATCACGATGACTTGTGACTCTGTGCTAGCACATGCATCGATGGCTTCCATGCAGTTCCGTCTCTGCAATTTTCCCTCGCAAGAGTTTGGTCAAACCGTCGTATGCTCATCGGTCACTCTCCAAAGTTTCCACATGATTGGGATTGCCTCCTCAGATCGAATAGTTCAAGAACGTCGTAAAGCAAAAGTTCTAACCACTCGGTCGTACGCCTAAAGCATATATTGATATACATTTAGGCAGGTGGAGTAATGGATAGCTGCTTGGATTGAGGAATCGGAGAGCAGAGTTCGAATTCCAGTTAAATCCCTTACATTCATTTACGTGTTAATACCCTTGAGAAAGGTATGAATCATTTTCTTCTTCCTCCAGCTATGGATAAATAGCAGGACAGACTGGGTTCTTTAGCCTTTGATAGCAACTAGCCTATGAGAAGGGCAACTCTGATTTCAAAACGATGAGTTGTTTGTTTGTTGCATTTAGTGCTCCAGGTCTCTGTATTCGGTCCTTCAAATAGTGTGGATGATCCTGCACGAAACCTTCACCACTATAATCAAATCTCATGTGCTGATGTCGGTGCTGCTTGATCCTCATACATCGAGTTCGACAGGAGAGTCGAATATATATATATATATATATATGTAAAAAAACGTAGAATAAAATTGCTACGTTCAAAACATTAATTTAAAACAGGGTTCAATACAAAGGTAGAGAAATAAATATTTATTATACACTGTTACATTAGAACATAAGTAACCACTACAGAATTTTACATTTTGCTTCAACGTTTAAAAAAAAAGTCTCTTCAGATGCCTAACAATGATGGTTAATAAGATCCTTGCCTTTTTTTTCATTCTCTTCCGTTAATGTCTTTTCGCTTTCTTTTTTTTTCTATTTCAGTGTACATGTTTAATTCTTCTTTTCCTTCTCTTTCGTTTATAAATTCATTTATTTCATCTACTTTTCTTTTTCTTTTTTTCCTTTTTCTTTTCTGAATTCCTGTATTTCTCCTCTTTTTCTCTTTCATTTTATTTAAGAAATCGTTTTCTTCTCACTTTTTCCCTTCTTCTCTTATTCAAAATTTATTTATTTCCTCCTCTCTTTCTTGTCTTCTCTTTCTTTTTTACGTGATTTTCTTTGTTTTTTCTTTCTTTTTTTAAATTATTTTATTTATCCAATTCCTTCTTTTTCTTTTCTTTTTTAAAATTCGCTTATTATTTGTCCTTTTCCTTTTCTCATTCTCTTTTATTAATTCGTTAATTTCTTGGCGCTTTCTTTCTCTTTCTGGTTACATTCGTTTAGTTCTTCAGTCCTTCTCTTTCTTTTTTTTTAATACGTTTATTTCTCTTTTCTTCCGTCATTTCCGTCCCTTTATTTAGAAAAAATGTCGCTCACTTCTTTCTTTCTTCTTTTACTTCCATTTATATATTTTTTTTAATTTGCTTGTATCTTTTTCTCTTTAGTAGTTCGTCTGTTTCTTTCGAAATTAATTTAGTTCATCAGGTTTTGTTCCTTTCCTTTTCTTTCTTTTTTTAACTTTTTGTAATTCGTTTTCTCTTCTGTTTTTCTTTCTTTCTCTCTTTCTTTCTTTCTTTCTTTCTTTCTTTCTTTCTTAATTTAATATATTTCTCCTCTTTCTACATTTCCTACTCTTTTTAGTTTCGTTAATTTCGCCTCTCTTTCTTTTTTCTTTCTTTCTTTATTTCTTTCTTTCCTTTTTTCTTTCTTTCTTTATTTCTTTCTTTCTTTCCTTTTTTTCTTTCTTTCATTCTTTTTCCTTCATTCGCTTTCTTTCTCTCTTTCTTTTTTTATATTTCTCCTCTTTCTGCATTTGCTTCTTTTTTTTAGTGTCGGTAATTTCGCCTCCATTTTTTTCTTTCTTTCTTTCTTTCTTTCTTTCTTTCTTTCTATTTCTTTCTATTTCTTTCTTCCTTTCTTTATTATTTTCTTTCTTTCTTTCTTTCTTTCTTTCTTTCTTTCTTTGCATTTGTTTAATTCTTCTGTTGTTCTTCCTTTCTTTCAGTTTCTTTTTTAAATTTGTTTTTTAATTTTATTTTCTTTCTTTTTTATTCATTGTCTGTTTTAAATTTCTTTCCCTTGTCTTTCTTCCTTTCCCTCCCTTAATTTTTAAATTCTATATCTTTCTTCTCCTTCTTTTCTTTTCCTTCTCATTATTTAAATAATCGTTTATTTAATCTCTCATTTTTCTCTCCTCTTTTTAAAAATTCATTTATATATTCTACTTTTCTTTATTTTATTTCTTTTTTTAAATTCTTCTATTTCTTTCCTCTTTATTTTTTTGGCCTTCATTTTTTTTATTTATTCTTTCCTTCCTTCTCCATCTTCTTTTCTTTTCTTTTCTTTTTTTAAAATTTCTTTGTTACTTACCCCCTTTCCTCTTTTCATTCGCTTTCTCGTCTTTTTCATTTTGTTAATTCTCTTTCATCTTTTCTTTTTCTTTTTATTCACATTCATTTATTTCTCCTTTTCTTTCTTCCTTTCCTTGTCTTTTTTAATTTTATTCGCTTATTGTTTCTTTCTTCCTTTACTTCTATTTAAATATCATCTGTTTCTTCACCCTCTCTAGTTTTCCATCTTTTTATTTTTTAAAAATTCTCTATTTTTCTTGTTTTTCCTCTACTTCTCTTTTTTGCAAATTCATTGATTTTTTCTATCTTTTCTTACTTCCTTTTTTTAAATACTTTGTCTTTCTTCCTTTCTTTCTCTTTTTTAAAATTCGTTTATTTTTTCTCCCTTTTCTATTTTCATTGATGTCTTTTACTTTTTCTTTCTTCTTCCTTTCTTTCTTTCTTTCTTCCTTTCTTTCTTTCTTTCTTTCTTTCTTTCTTTCTTTTTAATTCGTTCCTTTCTTTCTTTTTTAAAAATTTGTTTATTTCTTCTTCCCTTTCTATTTTCATTGATTTCTTTTATATTCTTTCTTTTTTCTTTCTTTCTTTCTTTATTTCTCTGTTTTTTAATTCTTTCCTTTCTTTCTTTCTTTTAATTCTTTCCTTTCTTTCTCTTTTTTAAAATTCGTTTATTTTTTCTTCCTTTTCTATTTTCATTCATTTCTTCTACTTTTTCTTTCTTTCTTTCTTTCTTTTAATTCTTTCCTCTTTCTTTTTTTAAAAAATGTTTTTCCTTCTTCCTTTTCTATTTTCATTGATTTCTTTCTTCCTTTTCTATTTTCATTCATTTCTTCTACTTTTTCTTTCTTTCTTTCTTTCTTTTAATTCTTTCCTCTTTCTTTTTTTAAAAAATGTTTTTCCTTCTTCCTTTTCTATTTTCATTGATTTCTTTCTTTCTTTCTTTCTTTCTTTTAATTCTTTCCTTTCTTTCTTTTTTAAAAATGTCTTTTTCTTCTTCCTTTTCTATTTTCATTGATTTCTTTCTTTCCTTTCTTTCTTTTTTTAAAAATTTGTTTATTTCTTCTTCCTTTTCTATTTTCATTGATTTCTTTTACTTTCTTTCTTTCTTTTAATTTTTTCCTTTCTTTCTTTTTTTAAAAATTGTTTATTTCTTCTTCCTTTTCTATTTTCATTGATTTCTTTTACTTTCTTTCTTTCTTTTAATTTTTTCCTTTCTTTCTTTTTTAAAAAATTGTTTATTTCTTCTTCCTTTTCTATTTTCATTGATTTCTTTTACTTTCTTTCTTTCTTTCTTTCTCTGTTTTTAATTCTTTCCTTTCTTTCCTTCTTTTTTCTTTCTTTTTTTTAAATTTGTTTATTTCTTCTCCCTTTTCTGTTTTCATTGATTTCTTTTACTTTGTTTGATTGTTTCTTTCTTTCTTTCTTTCTTTCTTTCTGTCTTTCTTTCTTTCTTTCTTTCTTTCTTTGTTTTTTATTTTTTCTTTTTTAAAAAATTTGTTTATTTCTTCTCCCTTTTCTATTTTCATTGATTTCTTTCTCTTTTTTTTAATTTTTTTCTTTCTTCCATTTCTTTTTTTATAAAATTCGTTTCTTTTTTCATCCTTTCTTATTTTGATTCTTTTTCTCCCTTTCTTTTTCTGATATTTCTTCATTTTTTTTTCTTTTTTAGACGCCTTCATTTAATTTCTTTCTTCCTTATCTTTAATTTCTTTTGTAAATAAAATTTTTCTTCTCTTTTTACTTTTTCGTCTTTTTTTTTCTTTTTTAAACTCCTTCACGTCTCTTTTTTTTTCTTCCTTTCCTTCACTTTCGTTTCTTTAATTTCCTTTTATTTCGCCTCTCTTTTTTTCTTTAACTTTTCTTCTTTTTTTTAACCTTTTTCTTAAACCTGAACATAAATTTTCATTTCCTGGTCTTCCCTGACCCTTTACCCTTCTGTGCGCCTCGACTGCGCAGACCCCTTCAATATTGTTAGTCATTATCCTTACGGGAGGCACGTTTCTTAATTTCAATTGCCCACGCACGCATCAACGCTGACACCTCACTTTCTCTGTATTTCTTTTTCCGTTTCTTTATCTATTTCTGTTTTCTTTAATTGCGTTCAGCCGAATCTGTAAGAAATCCATCTTACTGTCGAACCAGTGGCGTCTATTTTCGCATCATACAGCTTCGGAGTCGACATCTTAATCAATCGTGATACGCTGGGAGATTCAGAACACTAATACGCGGAAATATAAGACTAGACGCCATATTGATGCATAATCTTCATCCAAAGACGAATCAGCAATATTATTGGTCCTGATCTGGCGTCTCGGCTTCAGTCACTTTCCCACCGTCGTAAAGTTGCCTCACTCTTCATTTTCTATAAATACCTTCATGGTAATTGTTTTGTTTGTCTCCCCCCCACACCAATGAATTGTACATATGGGGACTAGTTGAGATTTTCATAGAGACTCTGAGGTATTAAGGTGACTGTATTAAAAATGGTACCGTGCCCCTTCAAGACATAGGCGATCATGGCTCTCCATAACATCCTGCCCTATGGAGACCTTATAATTCACAGACTTATTGTCGTGATCATTGAGCTTCAATTAGTTTACTACAAGTTCACAAATATGGGCACCCAATGAGGATCGAATAGACTAAGGAGTAGTAATAGTCAATCAGACTAGGTCGTTTTTACCTCATGCTTAGTTTTTATTTGTTAGATTTTACCTAGTTTTCTACAAAGCCACACGTATGGAGTACCCAATGAGGATCGAACTCACTAGTGAGTAGTAATAACCAAATAGAATAGCTCATTAGCCGAGGTATCTTGTTTTTATTTCTTCTTTTATTTGCCGTGCCCCTTCAAGACATAGACGATCATGGCTCTCCATAACATCCTGCCCTATATAGACCTTAGTAAATTTTGTCTTTTTACTCTATCTACCTGTTCTGTCAACAATTTACACGAGATCGTTAGACAGGTTATACGTTGTTCTTTTTTTTTTTCTTTTTTTTTTTTACTCTGGCTCTCTTGCTTTCAATATGTCCTGCGAGTGTCAAATTCTCCAAGACCCCTGTCCTCATTATGTACCCTAAGCAATTCCACTGTCGCTTTCCGGTGATACGTCTAAGCGCCATTTTTGTTACCATTTTTTTTTCTAAAACTTCGTCGGTTTTTATTGGCCGAACTGAAACCTGAGTCTGCAACTATCCACGCTGAAGGTGGCATATTTTTTTTTAATAGGGGGTGGTTCTTAGCCCGCTGCAGCCAGCGTATTCCAAGTACAAAACACTGGGCAAAAGCCGACACGAATTTCAACAGTATAGCACAAGGTTACAAGCATGGGGCACCCAGTGGGGATCAAACACACTACTCAGAAGTAACAGTCAACCAGAACGACTCACTAACTCCCCGACACCGAGACGCACACAAATAAATGTATTAGCTATAATTCCATTAAATTATAATGGCAATGGTAATATTGAATGTTTTCTTATAAGGAAGCATTCGGCATTTATTGATTGGGAAGCCAGTGCTACTAATTTCCTAGTATGGTGACTATAGTAAGAATGGTAAGTAAGAATGTGTTGTCTTGGTGTAAGGAAAGTTATAGTATGTTTTGATCAGTGATTGTATCTAGCTAAGTTATATGCAGGACAGAAGATGACCAACCTTCCTCTCTTCCATTTGGCCATAAAATATACTTGCTCTCCTGCTTGTTGAATTATAGTTCTCAGGGAAACTGGAATAGGGAAGTGAGTTCCACAGGCGAGAGGTGCGAGACACGAAGCTATTGGAGTAGAAGAGACGGCTATATTTAATAGTTTCAACAGTGAAAGGGTGAGAGCGGGATGCCAGCCTGGTAGGGCGCTTGAATTCATGAAGTCTGGGAATCAGCGAATGCAGCTCCTCGGAGCAATTGCCATGAAAGTATTTGTAAAAAAAAAAAAAAGACAGAGAGAGGTGACGGCGCGTCTATGAGAAAGTGACTGTAGATGAGATGCCAGATCAGGGCCAATTATATTGCATATCCGCCTCTGGAGCCTATCAAGAACCCCGAGGCAAACAGAAGGGGCACCAGACCATATATGGCAGCAATACTCCATACAAGGGCGAATTGTTGATTTGTAGATCTGGAGGATCGATTCCGGGGAGATTGCAAGCCTAAAAGAACAATCCTACATTGAATGGTACACAAGCGAGAAGTGCAAGAGAAGGAACTCTCACCATAGAACTTACTGTTACATCGTGACATTTCAACTGTAAAAAAATTTCAAAATATTTAACAAAACAAAAACGAGCACTTTCGGAAACTGAATGGTGTCGATTTGGCTCTTTGTCGACAAAGAGTTTATCGTTCCTACACCTTCAGTGCTCATATTCCTGCTAATAAATAATTATAACCGAAGATTTTTTTTATAATTCCATCGGCTATACCTAACTATGTATAATTCAACCAGTAAGAATATTGTTTTAGTCCGATAAAGATTTTTTTTGTCTATTTTATCATTAACTTAGCTGGTCATACGCTTCCAAGCGTAGGGCACTGCGACTCGCTGGAATGGTTAGCAAGACTGCTTCGCCAGATCATTTCCGACTGAATAGTGAGTTCGATCCTCACTGGGTGCCCCATACTTTCGGGCCATATGTAAGCTACCTTTAGATAATTACCAGTGGGCACTTCGACGCAGTGTAATGATTAGCAACATTGCTTCGCTAGATCAATTCCAACTGAATAATGAGTTCGATACTCATTCGTTCTTGTA